AATTAATCTAGCTCTGTCACAACTCTTTCCACAGGCCACATTGCATGCTTCAAAATAATGTAGTTAGAGGAATCATTTGGTTTCAGGTGGCTATGGATATGCAGTGATATATCACACCCTCAGCATCCTTTAGGTTCAGGACCTTATCACAGTTGAGTCTAGCAAGCTTTAAAGGCTCTTATAGGCCCTGCCTAATTCCAAAGTATCCATGTTATTAGATTTTTTTTTTTTGCTGTATTTCAGGATCATACTGACAGCTAGTGGTTATTGACACCCTTGTAACAATACTTTATTGTTATTATTATTATTATTATTATTATTATTATAGCTTTTTAAGCAACTAGATGGTACAGTAATATTAATTCTAATCATAGTAGGAGCTATGTTCCAGGCATTGTACTAAGCACTGAGGATTAAAAAGAAGCAAAAGACAGTCCCTGCCCTCAAGGAGCTTAAAATCTAATTAGAAAAACAATATGCAAATAAATATATGCAAAGCAAGCTATATACAGGATAAATAGGAAATAACTAACAGGGAAGGCATTTGTATTAAGAGGGGTTGAGGAAAGTTTCCTGTAGGACAAGGAAGTCAGGGAGGTCAGAAGTCAGAATGGAGGAAGGAGAGCATTCCAGGAGTGAGGGACAGTGGGAGAGAATGGCCAGAGCCAGGAGATGGAGCGTCTTGTTTGTGCAATAGCCAGAAGGTCAATGTCATTGGAGTGAAGAGTATGTGTCAGGGAGTAAGATTTAGGGAAATTGGAAAGGTCTGTTGTTATTGTTCAGTTGTTTCAGTTGCCTCTGACTCTTCATGACCTCATTGACCCCATTTGGGTTTTTTGCTTTTTGTTTTTGGCAAAGATACTAAAGTGGTTTGCCATCTCATTCCATAGCTCATTTTACACATGAGGAAACTGAGGCAAACAGAGGTTAAATGTGCCCAGGATCACATAGCTAGCAAGTATCTGAGTCTGGATTTGAACTCAGGTCTTCCTGACTCCAGATCCCATACTCTATCTATTGAGCCACCGGCTGCCCCATTGAGGGGAGGTGGGTAGGGATAGGAGACTGGAAAGGTAGGAGGTAGCTAGTTTATAAAGGGCTTTGAATGCTAAACAAAGAGTTTTGTATTTGCTCCTGGAGAAAATTGGAAGTTACTGGAGCTTATTGTGTAAAAGGTGACATGATCAGAACTGCATTTTATGAAAAGCTCTTTAGTGACTGAATGGAGGATGGATTAGAGTGGGGAGAGACTTGAGGCAGGCCAGCCCACTAGCAGCCTAATACAATAGAACTGGCATGAGGTTATGAGGGCCTGTATCAGTGTCAGAAGAGAGAAGGGGACATATTAGAGAGATTTTACAAAGGTGAAATCCACAGGTCTTGGCAATTGGAAAAGGGTGGGGGAAGGGGCTTGAGAAATAGTGAGGAGATAGAGTGTTAGACCTGGAGTCATAAAGAATTGAGTTCAAAACCTGTCTCAGACACTTAGTTAATTGTGTGATTCTGGGCAAATCACTCAATCTCTGACTGCCTTGGTTCCCTCAAATGTAAAATGGGGATTAATAGCACCTCCCTCAGGTAATCGATGTTGTTATAAAGAATTCTGGGTTGTTACAAGAATCAAATGAGACATGTGAAGCATTTTGGAAACATTAAAGCACTATAGAAACACTATTATTATTAATTAATTATCATTATTACTAACAATAATTTGAGAAACATATGATCTAGTATATAAAAGGGCCAGTTATGGAGTCAGGAAGCCTTGGGTTCAAATCCTGCCTCTGACATATACTGTCTTTGTGACTGAGCAAATCACTTATCTCAGTGCTCCAGCCAACTCTCTAGGACTGTAAGTTGCTGATGAGTTAGGAATTTCTGGTTTGTTCTGATATGGTTGGGTTTGATTTTGGTTAGGAATGTTTGCTTTGGTAAAGGTAGTTTCCACACAAGGAGTTCAGCATACAGACGAAATCACAGGCTGCCATCTCGCATCCAGCAACAATAACAACAAACTCCCAGAAACCTGACATTTAAATAATGCTTCACAGTTTACAAAATACTTGCTACAAAATACAACCTTATAAAAATAGCTTCCTTCCCTGTTTGCCTCCCCTGTCCCCATATGCTTCTGTTGATATCCTACCCATCTCTTCTTTCCATAAGAAGTCTTTTCTGATTCTTTCCAAAAGAAGTAATCTTTCCCTCTTTTGAACTCTCATAACTAGTTGTTGATACTTCTTTTTCCTATTTTATATTTGAGTTACTTGAATCCATGTTATAATTCCTTGAAGACAAGGCCTTATTTGTATTTGTGTCTCCCCCGGGACCATGCCTGGTGCCTTAAATATGGTAGATACTTAATAGATATTTGCCAAATGACTAAATGAAAACATATTCATCTAATTTATTCACAATCATTTTTTTGTATTTGGTTTCACAGCAAGCATTGATTAAACATTTATTATATACCAGGTTACTGTGTTAGGTCTTATGAATGCAAAGACAAAAATGAAGGAGTGCCTGTCCTAAAGAAGCTTAGGTTTTAGTGGAGGAAGAATTGTAGAAATATTCTTATTCCAGGGGAAAAAAAAACTGCTTTAAGGCAGATAACTACCTGAGGTATAGGTAGCTTTTGTTATTGAGTCATTTTCAGTTATGTCTGACTTTTGATGAACCCATTTGGAGTTTTCTTTGCAAAGATACTGGAACAGTTTGTCGTTTCCTTCTCCAACTCATTTTATAGATGAGGAAACTGAGGCAAACAGGGTTAAGTGACTTGCCCAGGGTTATACAGCTGGTGTATTTGTGTAGTTTAAGTGTCTGAGGTTGCATTTGAACTCAGGTCTTCCTGACTCAAGGCCTAGTGCTCTATCCATTGCACCATCTAGCTGTAGGTAGCTAGGAATATAGTAAGTATCTGCCAGGAACTACTTTAAAATTCTTATAAGTGCAAAAAAAAATTCGTCCAAGCTACGTGATGGCAATCCTATAATTTCTATTTCTGTTATTATGAAATGTCTGTGATGTAGGAATAGATCATTTAAATGAACTCTGATGGGGTAGAGTTCCAAATGAGGTTATCTATTTTTGAGAAAAGAGTCTCAAAGGCACATTGTGGAGAGGAACTAGTTAAGCAATAGTACAAAAGAAAAATGTTGGGGTTTTAAGGAACAAGTAACATGTGAGTCATCAATGTTGCATTTCCGTCTCACAAAAAAATAGAATAAAACACGATCCATGCAATAAACAAGAGGATGGTTTTGTAGGAACCAGGAAATGATTCTCCCACTCTCCTCAGCACTGGTCACACTCTTTTTCAGGCTCTGCCCACACGTGCAAAATGCAAATGTCTCTCTGTACATGCAAAGAACTGAAAAGAAAAAAAATATTTCCGATAATGTCGACCAAAAATAACTTTGATGCAAAACATTCAGATAGGTTGGGTCTATATAATCCCAGAACAACTGGTTGAAAAGCAAAACATCCAGTGAAGCAGATTACTTGGTCTCATACATTAATAAAAAGCAACATTTTACTGAGTTTTTTAAAAAATCCTGATTTTATTGAAGTCATTGGTTTGTGCAGACAACCATGATTAGGATAAAATTTATTTCTTTTTTTTTCTTGAAATAGTCACAAATAACCTTAACTTTCCAACTTATTTTGTACTTACAGACTTTGCTTTTGGTCTTCCCAACATGAGAGGGAAATAACTATTAATAAGCATAGGGAAAGGTACTAGATCTATGATTTCATGGCTACAGGGAACTTCCGGGTGAGGAAACCCCCTCAATCAATGCAGGTCAGCATCTTCTCAGCAACTTCGAATCTTAGAGCATTTTCTAGAGTGTGGAAAAGTTAAGTGACTTGCTCAGGGTGATATGGCCAGTATGGATCATAGGTGGTCTTCTTGGCTTTGAGACCAACTTTGTCACCATTTTTTTTTTTAAAGTTTAGAAAGTTAAAGCTAATTAAGCAATTCATTATTAAGTATATATCCCCAAAAGGTCAAAGACATAAAGATAGGTTATGTGTTTGTATATATATATATATATATGTATATATGCACGTTTATATGTATATGCATGTATGTAGGTACACACACACATATATTCATATCAGTATTCTTTGTGGTAGCAGCAACTAGAATTATAAATGATGGTAGTGATGATGACTAAGGGAAAAGAAGCATAAGTATTGTGTGTGAAAGGCCTGTTAGGACCTAGAGGGCCACATGTGACCTTGAGGCCTCAGGTTCCCCACCCCTGGGGTATAGTAATGCAAAAATCATCTGGAGTTCTTCCACAAGGCAGTTCCCACTGATTAGTAGGCAGGGCATGCAAAGTCTTTCATGACCCTTATAACCACATTCCCCTACTTTATTTTTCTTGTCATGGAAATACCAGCTGGTCCCCATTCATATTGGGAATAATGAGTATTAATTAAAAAGGATAGGAACAAAGTATTAAAGTCAACTTTAAGGGTCATAGTATGGGAAACATTAAATACATTATAGGAGTAATGATAGTATACAAAAGTTAAACTTAGCTGACTTGAAAATGTAAAAATAATTTTGCAGATGGAATTGCTTTCTTTTCTGCTTTTATCTATGTTCTATTGGATTATTATCTCATGTAAAATGTTCACATTTTTATCCTTCTGCATATTTATCCAAAAAAATAAGCAATTTTGGGATAAGGTCCTGTCCCAATTAAAACCCCATCTGAATTTATGCTCTTTTGTGATTTGAAGCTTTGAGGGATGATTGAGAGTCACTCTGAGCAACATGTGGTCTCACCCTGCCACAGAATATTTGATTTGTATATCTTCTAAATGAAGAAACAATAGGGTAAAACATAGAGTAGGAGATGTTTTGGTTTATAATGAGGCCTCAAGAAAATGACACACTTGAGAAAATAGCCAGTTAGAACTAACCTAAATTTCTTTCTCCCCACTGTGAGGTTTACATGTCTGAAATTGTATTGTGTCGTCCTTAGGGCACAGGAGATCTTGACTGTCACTTTAAAATTCAGAAGAACTTGGAGAATGGATCCATAAGTCTGGAATCAGTGAAAAGCAGAGGCCTGTTCGTTGGACTTCTGCCGGATGGTCAAATGAAGCTGGTTCTTTACATTAAAGATGCAAGTGTTTTCTTCTATCCACAAGTCATCCAATGTATGTTAATAATTACAAAACAAAATCCGAAACTTAAACATTTTAATATTTACAACAAATTATGTTGTGGAATACCAAAGAATGTAATAATATTTAGGACAGAATGTCTATTCTGCTGAGTTTTTTTTTTAATGTGACAAAACCATATTCAATTCAATATAATATATTTATTATGTTCTTACCATGTGTAGAAGTATTGTGCTTGGAATTATAGGGAAATAAAATAAATAATGCATATTCTTTACCCTCAAGAAGCCTATAATTTAGTCAGGGAGTTGATGATGATAACTGCTAACATTTATATAGCACTTACGGGGGCGGCACTGTACTAAATACAGTGCCTGAGGTTTAGTGACTTGCCCTGATTTGAACTCAGGACTTCTTGACTCTAGGCTTAGTATTCTCTCCACTACGCCATTTCATTGCCCCAAATATACAGATAACTAAAGGGCAAGATGTATACTATGATACCATACATTGAGATACAATCAAAATGTAAAGGGAAAGAGCAAAAGATTACATTTACTACGAACACGTGAAAGAAGAAATAACATTTTGTATGAGCCTTGAGAAATGGTTACAATTGGAGATTGTGATTTAAGGGGTTTTAATTAGTTACTAAGGATAATGACCTTTTAAAAATCAATCAATAAACATCCATTAAGCAACTACTATGTGTCAGGAAGGGGAGGCTATCAAGCTTGTGCAAGCACTCTCAGATGTCCTTGGTTTGTAATTGACCTCTGTCTTGTCACCAGACCTTCATCTGCTCACCTTTATCTCTTGCCTGTTTCTTACTTCCAGACCTTGTTAAACTAGTGTTCAGTTTGCCTATCATTCTCTGGGCATGCTCCAGGGGATCTACCTAATCCGATGAAGGACTTCCTCAAATTCTCTCACATGAAGGAGTTTTCCATTGCTTGTTCCACCATCTCCCTCAACCAATGTGGCCCATCATTTTCTTTTCCAGTCATAAATTTTTCTGATGTTCTACTTTTATCACATTCCCTAAATAATTCCTCGTTGGGCAGCTTGCTCATTCCACACCCCTCATACGTCCCTCCAATCTCCGTATGCCTTTCCTTGCTCTTTGAGTGATCCTCCATTTTAATTCTTTGAAGAATGTAATATTCTATGACTTGGAGTCAACAGCACATTGTCTTTTTCTCTTGAATCCCCTGCCCCCTTATCCCATTGCTGATTTTGTCCTACCAAACCTCAGCTCCAGATATCTCCCAACATCTGCTGCCTTGGCTCCTACACATACTGCCAAACAATGCTAGACAAAGTCATGAAACTATGATGATTAGGTTGACTACAGATAAAGGTTTTGCAGTCTCAACTGGGCTCTCACTGCAGCCATCCTTTTATGCCTCCCTTGACTTACTTTCCCTCTCACACAGCGGCTTTTCATTCTTCCTCAAACCTCTCTAACCCCCTTCCACCCCCACCTCAGCCTCTTGATTAAGAACATTTCCTCACATTTCAGAGAAAATTATACCCATTCACTGAGTTTCAAGGATTTTCTCTTCTTCCCGATTTCTCTCACAGGGGCTCCTTGTCACCCAAATGCTCCTCGTCATCTAGATGCCTTCTGCCATTATTTCCTCCTTCATTGCCCTCTCATAGGAGGAAGTGGCCTTTCTCTTTGCCAAGGCAAACTCCTTTGTGCATACAAGATCCCATTCCATTTTGTCCTCTCTCGCATGTTTCCACCTCTATCATCCCCACTCTCTTATTTATCTTCAATCTCTCTTTGTGTTAAGGTTTAGGGGTGCTGGGACCCTGAAATAATGAAACACAGGTCCTGCCTGAATGAATTTGATTTTCTTTCAGCCAAAGACAAGGTTTATTAAGAATCTGCCATATTGGCCAGACTCTTGAGGAATCTGAACATTTGTATTTCTAACGTAAGTGGACCAGATTGAATCTGAGCACCTTGGCCTGATTTTAAAAATCTGAGCACTAGGCTAGACTCCTAAAGAATCTGAGCCCCTTAATGGAGGGGAGATGGATTTTTATGTACAGAAAGACTGTGGGAGAGATCTAGGAGTGACCAAGTAGTCTGAGGTGACTGTGAGGAGGATCTGGATGGCCAAGGGAGAAATGGGGTCTAGATAGGATCAAGGAGTGCAGCTCTAGGGTGGGGCCAGGTGCAGACAATGAAAGGAAACTGGGAAAGGTCAATGCCTCAGATGAAAGGCCAGTTGACTGGGATAAGTAGATGCCACATGCCAGAGACTGGGAAAATTCAAGGAGGGTTGGGGTGGGGGGAGTTTCCAGAACCCATACCCATCACTTGTCAACAGCTTTTTCCCTACTACTTTCAAATGTGCCTTTGTCTCCGCATCCTCAAAAAAATCCTCACTTGATCCCTCTATCCCTGTTAACTCTCATCCTAGCTCTCCTTCCTTTTGTGGCTAAGCTCCTTGAGAAGCCTCCCTACAATAGATGTTTCCACTTTTCCTCTTACTCTTTTATTAACTCTCTACAGTCTGGCTTCCTACCTCATCATTCAGCTGAAACTAATCTTTCTAAAGTTACCAATGACCCTTTAATGACCAAATCTAATGGCTTTTTCTCAGTCCTCATCTTTCTTGATCTCTCAGCAGATTTTAACACTGTTGATCATGCTCTTCTCTTTGCTATTCTCTTCCCTTTGGGTTTTTGGGGTACCACTCTCTCCTGGTTCTCCTTTCAATTTGACCACTCCTTCCCAGCCCCTTTCCTGTATCCTCATCCAGGTCATGCCCTAATCTTGGGTGTCTCCCAGGCCTCTGTCTAGGCTTCTCTCTTCTGTTCTGTTCTGTTCTGTTCTCTTCTGCACTTTGCTTCGCTTCACTTCTCCCTCTATACTAGTTTGAGCCTAGTTACTGCAGAATAGTACTGATAAAAGCAGGAAGTAGAGGAAGAAGACATAAGGTATTTTGTACCAAGTTCAAAGAAAAGAAGATGTGTCTGAATGTACTGAAACATGCATTTTACTTTGAATCGTGCTCTGTTTTAGCTACATGATTAAAATATACGATGTATCACCAAATGTACATTTTTGTTAGATTTTCTGGCACATGCCAATTATTTTCTGGTATGCATCCGGAGGAGAAAAAAAAAACAACCCACTGATTATTGACTAAAATCACACACACACACACACACACACACACACACACACACACACACATGCACATACACACACTTTTTTCTTTCTAACAATGCACCATTGGCATACAGTGATTTCACAAATCAATTAAAATAACTAAACTTGTTTGTAGGGCTCACATCTTCCCTATTCTATAATTAGTAGTTGATTTTTTTGAACCAAAGTATAGGACTTTACACTTATCCCTATGACATTTTATGTTAGTTTTGTTGTTAGGCTCTCAAAATATTATTGGATCCTAATTCATTTATCTAGCAGATTATAACTTTCCTGAGGGACCTGGGAGCAAGGACCTCCCACGGGCTGTTTTTGGGGTGGGGTGGAGTTTTCCATGATGCAGAGGGAGACTTCCCTAATCCAGATTGACTGCCACTAGAATAAATGTTATTGTTCAACAGGTTTCTAGAAGTCTGAATTTAGTTTGGCAATGTCAAGAATCATGTTGAAGATACAAAGTAAGGGAGCTAAAGGGGTCCTGGGGCAGAAAGCAACATTTGGATAAGAATTAAGATTATTGGCCTCTATCTTGTGTAATAGGGCAAGTAGGTGGTGCTTTGGCTGGAGCACTGGGCTTGGAATCAGGAAGACTCAGTCCTCATAAATTCAAATCTGGCCTCAGATACTAGTTCTGTGACCCTGGTTAAGTCACTTAATCCTGTTTGCCTCAGTTTCCACATCTATAAAATGATCTAGATAAGGAAATGACAAACCACTCCAATATCTTTGCCAAAAAAACACCCTGAATGGGGTCACAAAGTGTCAGACACAATTGAAAAAAGTTTTCTACCATGGGCAAAGGCCTTATCCTCTGGAGAAATGGCCATCTCAAATTGCTGGTGGATATCTATTATCTCTCCCACTTTTGTATCATAACCATTGTCAGTTAAAGCCCTTGACAACCACATTCTAACTGACCTGTCTAAACTTATATATTTCTCCCCTTTGTACACTGTTCAGCCAAACTGGCCTTGCCGGTTTTCAAACATGGCACTCATGTCCCATGTCCATGCCTTTGCATTGGCTAGGCCTTGAACTTCCTTTGTCCTCACCTCCACCTCTTAGAATCCTAATTCTCTTCAAAGCTCAGCTTAAGTTTCACTTTCCACACAAGATTTTTCCTGATGCTCCAGCTGCTAGTGCTTTCCTAAAAAAACAATACATGTGGTATATTTTCTATATATGAACATCTTATCTCCCTCATGGAATAGAATATATATTCCTTGAGAGCAGGCATTGTTTCATTTTTTTCTTTCTATCTCCTGTGCCTGGCACAGTGCCTAGAACATAGTAGATATTTAATAAATCCTTATTGATTGAATTATCAAGTTATTGATAAAAATGAGGTCTAGGACATAGTTAACAACAGCCTTTGGGACACTCCTGTCTAGTTAGATACTGCTCTACAAATCAGCACTCTGTGTACAATTCTTAGCACAGTTATAGATTCTCCCAACTACGCTATCATCTAGACCAGGGATGGGGAACCTGTGGCCACGAGGCCACATGTGGCTCTTTAGATCCTCAAGGGTGGCCCTTTGACTGAACACAAACTTCATAGAATAAGTTTTGATTCAGTCAAAGGGCCGTAGTCAAGAACCTAGAGGGTCCCATGTGGCCTCTAGGCCGCAGGTTCCCTACCCTTGACTAGACCATATTTTTTTTCATTCTTTCTATAACAATATAAGAGATTTTGTCCAAACCCTTGGTGACTTCCAGATATACAATTTCACCTTTGTCAGGGAATTTCCCCTTCCCACTCTAGTACATTTTAAACCCTCTTGATAAGACCAAAAGGTCTCAGGGCAAACATGGTCTTTCCATTCTTCCATCTGTCAGAAAA